CTATATGTGATAACCAGCAAGTTAAAGAAGAAGAGCTGCATGAAGTTCGTAGAGTCAGTTGACAGTAATTGTAATAGCACAAATAGTCATAAGAGTAATAAAGGTGATCCCACATTGTGGCACCGAAGGCTTGGCCATGTATCTGAAAATGTTTTACATGCAATGACACTTCAATTTCCTTTCATTCCATTTCATCCAGACACTGTATGTGATTCTTGTCATTTTGCAAAACAAAGAAGACTGACATTTAACCACAGTAAGAGTATGTCCTCTAAAGCGTTCCAACTAGTTCATGCCGATATTTGGGGGCCTTATTCGGAGGCATCTATAGAAGGGCGTAGATATTTCCTCACTCTAGTTGACGATTTTTCCCATTTCACTTGGATAATTTTGATGAGAAACAAGTCTGAAACTAGACAGCATATCCAAAATTTCCTTACTTACATCGAGAACCAATTCCAGTCTTTATTAAAAGTTCTTCGCAGTGACAATGGGGCTAAGTTTTTGATGACAGAATTCTATGCAAGGAAAGGAATTGTCCATCAACGCACTTGTGTTGAATGCCCCCAACAGAATGGAACCGTGGAACGTAAGCATCAACATGTGCTTAATGTAGCACGAGCTTTGCTTTTCCAGTCTAACATGCCTATCAAGCTATGGTCCTTTGCCATTACCCATGCTATACAGCTCATAAACAGAACCTTATCACCATCTCTTATGCACATAACTCCCTATGAAGCTTTACATGGCGTGCCTCCCACCTTAACTGACCTTAGAGTCTTTGGATGCCTATGCTTTGCATCTACACTTCAAGCTCACCGTACAAAGTTTGACCCTCGTGCCCGCAAAGCTGCTTTTCTTGGATACAAAGCTGGTGTTAAGGGATATTTGCTTTATGACATTAATTCCCATGAGATTTACGTTTCCAGAAACGTGGTCTTTTATGAGGGTACCTTCCTTTTTCACAATAACCCTACCACTTTATCTGACAACCTTACTCCATCACCTGTCACAACTTTTCCTTTGGACTTTGACACCTTCTTTCATCTCACACCACCTATACCCTTCGATACCTCACCTAGTGTACGACCAGCAAATTTGTCCTCTATCCCCACTGATACATTACCTCCTACTATCCCTAGGACCATAGTTGATGCAGGTACTGGTCCTACTCAAGTTATGGCTCATCTTGTTCCTACACAGGATCCACAGTTACAGCTTCCCTCTGCTCCTCTTCGACGTTCTGCGCGTTCTCATGTCTCACCCAAATATCTTGCGGATTATCACTATAGTCCAACTACTGTCCACCGTGCCAATCTTTGCCAAGGTATGTCTCCTTCCCTTTCAAAATATCTCATTCATAATGTCCTGTCCTATCATAATTTCTCCCCTCCTTTTCGTCACTACTGTTTAAACGTTTCCACCTTTATTGAACCAACATCATATGGCCAAGCTGTAAAATCTGGTGACTGGTGTAAAGCAATGGATTCTGAACTCAATGCTTTGGCTCACAACCACACTTGGGACTTAGTTGATTTTCCTCCTAATAAACACCCCATTGGCTGCAAATGGGTGTATAAGATCAAGTTTAAGTCAGATGGTTCTATAGAGCGGTTAAAGGCTCGTCTCGTGGCCAAGGGTTTCACACAGAAGGAGGGCATCGATTTCTTTGATACTTTCAGCCCTGTGGCCAAGCTTAGCTCTATCAGGATCCTGCTAGCCATTGCTGCTGCTAAGGGATGGTTTCTCCATCAACTTGACGTCAACAATGCTTTCCTTCATGGCGACTTACATGAGGAGGTGTTCCTGGAGCCTCCACCGGGTTTACCAAATGTCAAGCCTGGCCAAGTTTGACATCTCAAGAAATCGTTGTATGGTCTTCGTCAAGCTAGTAGACAATGGCATGAGAAGCTCACTACCTTTCTGTTTTCACTTGGTTATCAGCAAGCTAATGCTGATCATTCTATCTTTACTCGACAGCATCAGCACTCCTTCACCGTTCTTCTTGTCTATGCGGACGATATTGTTTAGTCTGGAAATGATTTTCCTGAAATTTGTCGAGTAAAACACTTGCTGGATGCTAAGTTTCGCATTAAGGATCTTGGGGAGTTAAGGTTCTTTCTCGGTCTAGAGGTCTCACATTTTTCTAAGGGCATTGTTCTTAGTCAGCATAAATATGCCCTTGACATCATTGCTGATTCTGGTCTTCTGGGTAGTAAGCCAGCTCGCACCCCAATTGATGCTGCTATTAAGCTCAGTGCATTAGAAGGATGTGTTTTATCTGATCCTTCCCCTTATCGGCGTTTAATTGGACGTTTGCTATACCTTACTACCACCAGACTTGATATCTGCCATGCGATTAATCATCTCAGCCAGTATGTCTCTCAGCCCACTGAGGTTCATTTTACTGCTGCTAAGAGAATTGTTCGATACTTAAAGGCTGCCCCAGGGAATGGTTTGATTTTTCCCTCTACTAATGATCTTCACATCAAGGCATTTGCTGATTCTGACTGGGCTACTTGTCCTGATACCAGAAAGTCCACTTCTGGTTTGTGCATCTTCCTTGGTCCTGCCTTGGTCATATGGAGATCCAAGAAACAATCCACTGTCAGTCGTTCTTCTTCTGAAGCTGAGTATAGGGCCCTTGCCAGCCTCTCTTGTGAGCTCCAATGGGTTCAGTTTCTTTTTCATGATTTGCATGTGCCTTGGTCCAAGCCTGCCTCCGTTTACTGTGATAGTCGTTCCGCCATTTATCTTGCTCATAATGCCACCTTCCATGAACGTTCCAAGCATATCGAAATCGATTGTCACGTTACTCGTACCAAAATTCGCTCAGGCTTGCTCCACTTGCTTCCCATTCATACTTCTGCTCAGGTTGCTGATTTTCTTACCAAGCCTTTGTCCTTTCCTTTGTTTACACACGCTCTCTCCAAGTTGGGCATGCTTGATATCTATCGCCCAACTTGGGGGGGGGGGGTAATGGATACAAAGCTACATCACACAAAGCTGCATCAGCACTCTGCTAAACAAGTTGCCTCAGAAACTACATCAGTAACTAATCAAAAGCCACATCAGCAACTCAATCCAATTCCACCAATTACGGGATTGGTTCCACCAATTACGGGATTAGTTGGATCCAGTTAGTTATACGTGTTAGGCTTAGTTATGTTATAGCTTAAGCCTTTTCTGTTTAAAACCTGATGTATAAATATGTGGCTGCATGTACCATTTCATTTTCAGTAATTCATAATGAATATTTCCACCAAATTCTAGACCCTAACCCACTATCGTCATCATCGTGAGAGCTTAGGTAAGTGCATATAGCTGGTAGTTTTAGTTCTTCTCTTGGTTTTCATATTTATTAGATACTGCATCTGAATCCAGACTTAGGTAAATTGTTTTGTGCACGACGTGTTTGATAAAATTGTCGATATAGGTTTGAATTTGAACTTCATATTGTGAACTAGAGAGACAAACTATTGCTTTGCAAACTTGTATTCGTTCTTTGTTTTGTTTTTTTCTTTTAGAATCTTCAAAAAGCTGAGGAAGTTAATTGGTGTTTGCTTCATGTAATTTAAACAGATGGTGCTTAATCTGTTTGTTAATTTTGCCCTTTCAGTGCACCACATTTTCCTTTTCCATGTTAGTTTATTGTTTTTCTCTGTGGTTTGGATCCTGATTTGTCTTCCAGTGGTTTGAGTCTCTGCGAAAGACGCAATTATAAATGTATATATATATTTCAAAGAGTGCCGATTGCTGTGTTATTCTTTGGCTGTGTTGTGTAATGTAGAAATTATATTCGAATGGAATTTGAGACACGAAGCATGGGTGAACTGAAGGCATGGGGATAGGTGACAGTGCATTATTACTGTCTTCTGTTTTGTCAGTGGATGCTACGGGATTAGCCTATATAACCTTTGTTAGGAGTTAGTTGTTTGTCATTTTTTACTTCCCAGATGTATAAAAAAAAAGTTCATATACATTGTTTAGTATGTATAAGATTGAAATTATTAAGCTTATTTATTGTGCATATATAGTTATATATAATTATACATAAGTATTCATAAGGCATAATATCATTGAGGTAACTATTATTGTTTAATATTGATCGTTGGTCAAGATATTTTTTTAAAAATACTATTATGTGTTATTATAGTAGTATAAATAATTATAAATAAAAATTATCTAAAGGGTTAAATATTTTAATAATATAATAAGAACACATAATTAAGGTGTTCAAGATTGAGATCCAACCTAAGATTGGAAGGGACAATAAAACTGTAACGTGAGATCAACATGAATTATAAGATTTTACATTTCTGATATTAAGTATTAAAAATAATATGTATACATAAATTTTTTTATTTATTCATGCAAATAATAACTAAATAAAAAGATAAAATTCAAAATTTAAATATAGCCACAATATATTGTAAATAGAGATAAAACTTAAATAAGCTTAAATGTTTTCGGTGTTGATAATTCAAATAATGGTTCACTTTTCTGCAGTTACTACAGATAAGTTATCTGCAGTAAACCCAATTCGACGTCATTTTGGGATGGAAATCATGGTATTTTTTTGTAATTTTAATTTATTTAAGAGTTATTATAGTCCTTATAATTATAATTTTTTAATCTTCTAATCTTAAAACGACGTCATTTTGAAAATAAATGCAGATAACTTATCTGCATTAACTGCATAAATATTTTTCTGAATGAAAAAATATTTTATCATATTATATGAGAATTGAATTCTTGTATTGTGACTCGTGTGTAATTTTTTTTTCTTTCATTTTTTAATAAATATAGAGCCCACCACTAATTAAGTCACAAACGTAACAATTCAATTATCATCTAGAAAATCAAACCCCTTAAATAATTGTACAATACATTGAGTAAATCAAAATTGTAAAAAATTTGTGCAATAGTAATAAGTGATAGAAATAAGCATTTTACTCTTTTCCTTCTTACGCAGAACAGCTGCGGAGAATGATGATTTTTTTTCCCTCAGTTGCTGAGATAGGGTTAAAAAGTTGCTGACCCAGGTTGTGGGTTTTTCTGTTGTATTATTCCGTCTTGGAAGTGTCTATCCCAATCCTGCAAAAGCAAAACCGTGTCTACTGCCGACGACTTCAGCTGACGGCTCTGCCTTTTCTGAATTTCCTGTAATTATTTATATCCGCTTATTCTTTGTCTCTGCTGATAGTGATAAGTGATAACATCTCAAAAACTCATTTTTTTTCAATTAAAATAGTTGATTCTATTCTATTCTATTCTATGTGATTCAGTTTTATTGTATCCTTAAGCATACGTGCTTGACCTTTTGGGTTCAGTTCAAGTTCAATGGGTCCTCGACAGTGTCAAGTCTGCAACGAAGCTCAATCCAAGTACAAGTGCCCTTCATGTTATGTACCTTAGTAAGTAAAACCCAGACTTTTCTTCTTCAAACTTTACTATTATTCTATTTTGATATCTGAAAATTGTTGTTCTCTCATTTGATGTTGTACCTTCTGCTTGTAGTTGTTCCCTTGTCTGTTTCAAGAAACACAAAGGTATGGCGCTTTTAATGTATGTTCTCCTCACGTTATTTGTTCGCTTATTCCATGTTTGATGTAATGCGGGTATAGGGTCCATGCCCTGGGTTTCTGAACGAAGGGAATGGGAAATATTTTATCTTCTCTTTCTGCTTGAGCACAAAATACTTGCATGACTTGTTTACTATTGACCTTTGCTTGTTTGTTGAGATATATAGTCCCACATTGGTTGTATGTGCAACTAATGTGAAGTTTATAAGGCCTTGGGCACTCCCACCCTTTGAGCTAGCTTTTGGGGTGGTGTATCTCAAGGTTCTTTACATGGTATCAGAGCCTCACCGTCCCTCGCTTTAAAAAGTGGAATTAAAAAAAAAAAAAAAAAAAGCACAAAAAGGTAAACCAAAAATGGGTCTGTGCAATTCCACGCTTCTAGCCCAAAGGGCTCTTGCGTGAGGGGGCGTGTTGAGATAAAAAGTCCTACATTGATTAGATGGGTAACTAATATGGCCTTTAGAAGGCCTTGGGCACTCCCACCCTTTGAGCTAGCTTTTGGGGTGGTGTATCTCAAGGTTCTTTACATGGTATCAGAGCCTCGTCGTCCCCCACTTTCTCTTGTGGCGTTTCTTAGCACAGGTAGGCTGGGCCTGTTGCATTGTCCACTCTTCAAGCCCAATGGGCTCTCGTGTGAGGGGGCGTGTTGAGATATATAGTCCCACATTGGTTGTATGTGCAACTAATGTGAAGTTTATAAGGCCTTGGGCACTCCCCACCCTTTGAACTAGCTTTTGGGGTGGTGTATCTCAAGATTCTTTACATTGTTTATGGGACAACTGAAATTTTATCACGGAGCCATGATTCTAAAGCCGCTCACCTTTCTTAGAATTTGCTACTTAATACTTGAATTGATTAGACTACTTCAATCTTGCAGAATTTCCATGTGTCAAGCCGCTATCATCAGATGCCAAAACAAGTAAGAGTTTTTATTCACTTTCATAATTGCTTTGGTGAGGTAGTCTTCATTATGATGGATTTTCCTTATCATCGGTCACCCCCTCCTTTAGGGGATATTATAATTTGAAGTTTTATATTGATGGGCACATGTCATTTCATTACATCTTTTAAGATGAGGATTCTCTTTTCCCCTATCTCCTTATCTGTATTATCGATTTTCATATGCCGAAGTAAAGGCAGCCTCACGATATAAAGCTTATGCTATGTATAGGGTCTAGGGAAAGGTTGAACCGGCTATAAGGGTCTATGCTAGGCAGCCTTGTCTTGCATTTGCTAGAGGCTGATTGCACAAGAACGTTACCTTTCATCTGCAGAAGTATTATGCAAAAATCAAATAACTTTTACATTTGGCTGAAACTAAAGTGGCATGCACACACAGTGTAGATGTCTGCAGTTTTGCATATCTTCCTTGGGGGTATGGCGAAATTGTTAGACGCTACGGACTTAATTGGGTTGAGCCTAATTTTTTTTGTGCAATACGGTGTATTGTATTTCGATTTCACTTAAAAGTTGCTAGATGGAATTTTTTTTGCTTCCTATCTGTAGTTTTTCTGACCAATTATCATGTTTTTTTCCAAAAAAAAAAACTTGTAATATGATGTTCTTGGAAGCAAACTGTATTTTGCTGTCAAAATAGTAATCAACAATGTCTCAGTATGACCTAAACTTTTACTTTTTGGCAACTAGTTTCTATGTAGTTATTCATTACTCTTAAGCACTTTGGTGATTTGATGTTTGTTTCTCTATTGTTCATCAGCTGCTGTTTTGGAATCACTTGCAGAAAAGCCATTAAAAAGGCCATTAGTTGTTGATGAACCCAGTGAGGTGTTGAAAAAATTCCAACTGGAGGCTATAGGTAATTTTGTATGTATATAAGAATATAAGAATGCGCTACATGCGGGATCAGAATACAGAAATTCCAGTAGCAAAACCATGTTTGGTTAATGTTTAATATTTTAAAGTGATTGTATTTCTGCTGCAGCCTCTTCCAGTGAGATCCGTGATGCTGTGAATGATAAGGCCCTTCAAGAACTAATTTTCCGTATTGATTGTTCCCCAAATGCAGAGAATGTAAGACAGACAAAGCTCTCTTTTATCTGACTCACTGTCTATTCTATTTTTTTTTTCACTCTTTTTGTATGTATTGCCTATAGAGCTGCTTGCCTTGCAATCATAGGCTGATATTTATTATTATTATTAGTTTTAATACTCACTGAGCAAAAGTTATAGAGAAATTTCCTTTAAATTTTTGTGTTACTCTGATTAGGAACTTGATAAAGCAATGTCCGAGGAGGCATTTCGCTTGTTCACAGACAAGGTAATGCTATCTGCTGATTCTGATGCGCATTCTCCCCCATTTGCATATTAATCCTTTATAGGGTTGAGTCACTTTTGGATAAACTCAAGTTGTCAAATACCTTAAGCCTTGCTCTTTCTTTTTTTCCATTGGTTTACAGATTTTATCAACTATCAAACCCTAGCTCTAAGCACGTGTTGCTGAAAGAAGAATTTGTTTGTGGTAGAAAGTTATATGAAAGGAACAGCAGATAAGCATCTAAATTTTGCAGGTTTTGGTTAATCAATATTGCTTTTTCTTCTGTACAGCTCTGCCCTGTGATTCAGCTTTTGATATATAAGAAATTTTGTATCTTCATTGAGCTAGTGTATTGGTAAAAAGATTGATTTCGGTACACACAGGTTTTGCAGTTATAATCCCCAAATCTGGAAGTGTTGCCTTTTGCTCTTTTGAATTATAGCTTTACCGAAATTCTCATTTTAACTGGTCGAGAAGTCATGGTATTTTTGTTGATAATGACACGTGATACATGAACCAACTTGGTTAGTCAGTAGTGGAGATGGTGAAAAAGATAAAGTACTAGTAGATGCAATTATTTTAACACATTAATCGAATTTAATTTTAATTTTAAATTATAAAGCTTTAGTTAATTTACGTAATCATGTAATCAACCGTTGAATGATTAGACTATAACCTTACACCTCAGGTTGATTTATCAATATCTTCTTATGAAGCTGCGGCGTAACTCAATCCTATTTCAGATGTAGTACTATAATAGACGGGGACTACATGAGAAATTATAATGAACACAACGTTTGGTTTATACTTTGTTGTATGTAAGTAGCGTTATAACTTTATTTTAAATTTAATTATTTCCTTGTTTTAATTGACCCAACATGCAAGAAATCTCTAGGAAGTACTGATACTTCAATACACTTCGTATCAAATCTTCTTAGATACTTTTGGATTTTAATTATTTTTAAAATTGTTGTATCAACGCCAGTAGGACACAACAATGATTAAATAAATGATAGTGTTTTATTATGTTTATAATGATTAAATCTGACTTACGAAACATTAATGTTTTTATTCTAATTTAGGAATTTTGTTTTTATTTCAATACTAGATTTTTATATGCTACATTTTATCCACATCATATCTTATAATTTTTAGAATTTGCTGTTCTACTTATTAATATTGTGTTGTATCCATGTTCTGTTTCTGTGCTTCTTAGGGAAGGATAGTAGAGTCATGTAATTAACGAACTGTTTCAATTTCTCTATAATAATCGCATAAAGTCCATAGGCTGTTGTAATGTCTTGCAGTAAAAAAAATGATAGTAAATGGAGAGCAGAACATCAAGGAGCTTCCACGTTTGATGTAGACTGTATAAAGAACTATACTTCTTATAACAAATAATCTCTAAAATATAATGAAATTTTAGGACGGGAAAAAAGTGATGGGAAAAAAGGAAAAGGACAAAAATAATTCCGAGGGTGGGAAATAATTTACATGTTAGCCGTGTTTAGATTAGCTTGATGCTGAGAACTGCTAAAAAGTTTGTTCTTGCATATAACACCACTTGGCAGCAGTAGCATAGATGCCCGAAAATCTAACCTGCCATGCACACAAGTCCGTTGTTAATAATAGTTATCCTTGTTTTGTGCTACATTACTAGCAAGACGTACAATCTACTAGTGTGAGTGTTACCGGTACCAGCGATACAATAGCTCGTGAGCATCACCCTTTGAATTGTTAAGCGCTTGATTGTAAATATCAACGAATCATGTTTCTTCTGAATATCAAGAAAAATTGAAATATTTAAATTAGCCATCACTAACAAATATTAGAGTTAGCTAACAATTATTTTTAGCACTCGTATTAAATTTGAAGTACAAAAAAAAAAAAAGTTATCTCGTATCAACTTAAAATTGCATTACCACAATGATTTGAAGGCAAGTGCAGTCTAACTGGATTTGAAAAATAACATGTTTCTCTTATATAGTAAACAACTAGGCCATTTTGCTGGGGAAGCTTGTAACACAAGAATACAGTAATAACAAACTAAAATCAGAAGACGAGAGAGGCAATTTACCTGATTGCTGCTTTTCTGGATTCTCTTTGCCCCTACTGGTACTTGGCTTGCTGACATTTGGTTGGTTCATTGCCTGATTCCACATATGTAAACGGACCTCATAAATATCCCGAAATAAAAAAGAAAGAAAGAAGAGATGTATCAACAAAAAAAAGAAAAAGAAAAAAGAGACTACGAAAAAGAAAAAAGGATATGCTAAGCAACATTCCAGAATTCAAAATTTTCCTTATAGTTTGTTTCAGAGAGTTTTTATTTTATTTTATTTTGTCGGTTAGAAGGGTGTTAAGAATAAAATTTCGTTTCAATATCTACGATGTCACGAGCAATACATATCAATTTTTGACAATGTGCATAGTAAATAATTTGGGTCGTTTGTGATATGTCTTGGAAACCAGTAGAGTTTTCCCGCTGCGTATCATCTCAAGAAACGTATTACCATGATGCACTAAACCCTAAACGTATTACCATGATGCACTAAACCCTAAACGTATTACCATGATGCACATACGAAGAAGATGATATATAGTGGTGGCAGGAATCTGATAGGTCTCAGGTGCAACAAATTAACAGATTACCTGACATTGTCCTAAAAAGAGAAAAAAAAAACCAAATCAGAAATAACATTTAGAACAAAATTACCTGCATTAATTGTAACTGCACATGGTGGGGACCGAGGTATTGCTGATAAGGATCAGTGAAATTTGGGATACGTGATTGATCAGGATCAGTGGTACCAAGTGAGTTAAGCACATTATCTGACTGGTTTGCTGCTTGCATTCTGGATGAATCAGGTGCAGGAACATGGGGCATATGGAAAGGAGGTATAGGGAACCTTGGTCCCAAATGAGCAGCTGCAGTTGCTGCTGGCAAAGCTGAACTAACTAACATATTGGGAAATGGAATTACTGGTCTGTTCATTCCCATTTCCATGCCCATACCCATTCCAATCCCCATTCCCATTGGCGGCATATACTGCTGAATTCCTGGAAACATCATAGGTACCATGCCGTATCCCATGGACATCATCTGCATAAATAAATTGCACTTTATTCTCGTCACAAATGATAGTATACGACCATGGAATGTAGACATACATTACAATATATCAGTAATAGTATAGCCCTGACTCTTACACTTCAATTAAAGCATGTTGAGTTTCTTCTAAAGAAAACTTTTCACTAAAAATGTTACGGCTCCCAATGCCTGGTATCTAAAACCTTTTTGAGGCCTAAAGACCATTCACACATGAAGGATACAGGTAAATGAACCATAATCAAGTGGATTGGTTAATGCTCCACCATACAAGATGATGTTATCTTAATAAAATATCTTGTTTATATATATATATATATATATATAAAAAAAGCACTTTATTAATTGAGGTGAGGATAATTCACTCTGCTTTATGAACACATCCAATAGGTATACGACTATATATATATATGCATCTGCAAGTCACAACACAAATTTGAGGTAAGAAGAAGAATTTACCTGCACTTGTAACTGCAGTGACTTCAAGTATTCAATTGCTTCATCCAGCATTGAGGCTTTGTCAGACTATCAAATTCAGAAAAGGAATCAAAATAAGAAAAAGCTATGTCGAAGAAAGTAAAATCCAAAATACTCTCAAAGGAAGAAAAAAAAAAATATTAAGGAATTCAGCAAGTCTGTTGACCTTGTTGCACCGAGGTATAAGTTCTTGCAAAGCTTTCATCTTTTCATTAATTCTATCACGACGCTTCTGCGTGCAAATACAATATGAAAACTTTCAGATTATAAGAAAAACAGCATACAATTTATGTACTCATTAATAATGTATGTACAGACCCTCTCTGAGAGATTATGGACCTCTGCAGCACGAGATCTCTTTCTAGATGTAGAACCACGGTATTGTTTTTTGGCTTCCAGAGATTCAAAGTCGACATCCTTTTGCAGTGAGACAAATAGAGATAAGAATATTGAAACAACATATAACAGAAATTTATTCAGATTGCAGAAAATAAAAAAGAGAACAAATTTGCCATTGTCTATTAAACTACTGATCACCCTCATCAGCTCCAACGTATATATTCCAAGTAATCTAATTTGAAGGGAAGCCACCAACTTATACAAAGTTCCATCCTCCATTTTTTTTGGTAAATTGAAAAGTACCACAACTTGAACCCAAGATTTCTACCTATTTCCCTGCCCACTCATACTTCATATCTAAGCCCAAGTGGCTAAAACCGTTGAACATAGGTTTGGTCATTCCTGCCCAGTTGAATCATTAACTTCTTCCATCAGCGTCAAGTCAAACACGTTTCATTTTAGAGTGTGGAAATGCCTCACCAGCACAATCAATGTTAATACAATACGTTTTCTAAATGTCTGATTTCTATATTTGCCTAACTTTCCCAGCTAACTTATTATGCAAGCAGAGAACTTTAGACCAACATTGGGGCAAAAAAGACAAAAATTGCTCATTTGCACCATGAGCCACTCCAGCCATCACCAAATCCATCATCCTCCTTGGTTGCATGATCAACACACACAAAAAAAAAATAAAAAAAATTTGAATCTTCCACAATACACGTGGCATAACTGTACGTAACCGCGTCGTGTATAGTAGTTTTCATAAAATAGACGATGCCTAAAACATGCCCACACGCACCGAAAGTTGGATTTAGAATTAGAGATAAGAGGTTGAATTGAATGCAGGGAAGGGTGCTCACTTTAACCCGCGTCACTCCCTCAGCGCATGATAGCCGAGGCCAACGCATAGGAAATGTGTGAAAAAAAAAGAAAGATTAACGGTTAAAATACTCTACTGAGTCTGCTCACTCACCTCGCTCTGAAACTCCGATTCCTCCGGTTCCCGACCCTTCCTCTTCCGGTCCACCACTTGTTCCCTCTGATCCGGTTCAGCGCTCTCGCTCGAACAGCCTGGCGATGACGTCGCCGTCATCTCGAACGCCGCTGTCTCCCTTCCGCCTGCCGGAGCCGCTTTGACGGCGGCGATCATGATCTCGCTGCAGGTCTCCCCGCGCTCCGCCGAGGTCTTGGAGGCCACTGTCGCCGTCGCCACCGACACGTCGCACGAATCGACCACCGTCGATTCCCGCGCCGTCGCGGTATTCGAACTCGACGGCGGTCCCGGCTCAGTCCTAACGTTGTTTTGCTTCGAGAAGTGCGCGAAATTCTGTATCCTGCTCGCCGCCTGCTCCGGCATCCTCGACGGCGGAATCGGAGGCCGAGGAGTCGCCGTACGGAGGGGGTTTTGCATGGCACTGTTGTGATTCTGGCTGCCGTTAACGGCGGGCGGCGGACGGAAGATGTCGGCGCAGAAATCATGGTGATCGAAGGGAGGATCTTCGTTGATTGAATAGTGAAGCCACGAAGCCATTTCGTCTTCTTGCATGAACAGGTGTTGGTTGCTGTAGTTTTCTGCTTCGGAGGATGGAATCTCCCTCGCCGGAAACACGCCGTCGCGGTAGTTATTGTTCCTCGGCGATGGCGGTTTTCTGAATGGTCGTTGGTTTTGGCTATGCATCACGACCTGACCGTTTTGCCATAATAGTTCCATGATCTCGTCGTTTTGCCTGTTCGGATTTTCGTCGTTTTGGTTAATACGAAAAAAGAGAGAGAAGGGAATTCAAAGTACTGAAGAGAGAGAGAACTATTTACATGGAAGGTTTCTTTGAGAAGTGTATTTGGTATTCTTCGTCGTTTTCCATTTGGATTTCGAAATCTGGAACGCAGTGATTCATGCTAGCTGCCTCTGTTCTGTTCTGTTTGAGTTCTAAGAAAAAAAAAAAAAAAGAGTGAGAGAGATGAAAAATTCGTCACCAACAGAAAGAAGCTAAGGATCACAACTTACTATTGCAGCTATTTAGTCCAACATAGTGAGTGAGATGCGATTTATATGAAACTTAATTATTGTTGTTGAGTGATTTTTATGGAAAATTATTCTTTGAAATGAATTGAGTCTATCTTATAGTTATGTATATTATATGAATGGAGGTTAATAAGAAAAAAAAAGTTTTGGGTTGCAGGGAAGAATATGTGGTGTGTTAATGTGGGTTGAAGGTTGAAGAATAGAACATTAGAACAGACCAAAGATAAGTCTCACTCTGAATAATGCGAAGGCTAAAGGACGAAAAGGATTTCTGACGGTTTGCATTCATTCCTAGTAGATGTACTATTTGGTCCAAAGACGGTGCTTTTATTTTTTTATATATATTAAAGCGAGAGAATATTATATTTATAAATTTTTTTGTTACAAATTCTTACGCATTATACCATACGTGATCAGTCATATTTTAATTAAATGTCTATGACAGCAGGTTAGATGTAATTTATAGAAAAAGTGGAAATTTTAATTAATTAAAATCATAATTGATTTTTGTGAATTCTTGATGTTTACGTAAAAAAAAGTCAGGGATCTTGCTAAAGAAAAAACAGTCAATAATTAGTCTTTTAGGATCATTACTTATTTATGTTGACCTCTTACCAACTAGATTCCTTTTAAGATTAAGTAGTGGATATATCCTGTTAATCAACGAAATTGTTTTTTATTGCTTGGTTCAAATGTTAGATTAGTACTTAAATGCATTAGATTATTGTGAGAGGTGCGGTGAGGTGACCCTTAAAACCTTGTACTAAATAATAAATGAACCATAACATCTGACATAATCCATCAATGATAATAATTAAAACTAAACCTTCATATGTTTTTTTTCATTTTTTATTTATTTTTGTGTTTAACTTAATTTAATACATAGTCTCGGGAGATGAGAACTGAGAATAGATTCTAGAGTGCGTCTTGTTGGGACACGACTTGTTTTGCATGGCCCCGCATACTTATTCGTATATTAGGTTCTTACTTCTTACATAGTTTTCTTTTTTCTTCTTTTTTTTCCCCACTAATTTATTTATTTCTTAACAACAATGGTTCAAGCCTGCCCAAGTCCCTGTTTTGCTTTTTCAGTTCTTAATGTAATCTTGAGATTAGCGTCTGACATAAGTGGAAAACTTATTTTATCGGATACATAAAAGGGGCATAAGTAGAATATTCTTAGCCCATTTCATATTAGTGGCAAACATTAATGGGAAACCTCCCTCTTATGATGCGTTAACATAAATAAAACGAATATAATATAATTCCATATTATATATTTAAAATAATAAAATCTTATTATAGTATTGTTTTCACTATCTCGTTTTTTTTTTTCACTCCAACTAGTTATCATACATATAGTTCCATTTTTTATAGCCTTATTCCAAATCACAATGATAGCCTTATTCCAAATCACAATGCCATACATTTGAATTTTATAATTAAAAATTAACATCATCAATATAAGGCATTTTGCGTCTCTTTCTTGTTTTTAGGTTTCGAAATTGGTGATGCTTGTGCAAGTGCAACATCATTATCAATGTGAAAACATATGTTAACAACCAAAAATAATCTCTCCATTCAGTTGAATGCATTTGAGCCACAATTATTATTGGATGCGCTGATAAGCTATAAAATAAATAAAATTCAAATCTTAAATAAGATAGTTATTTAAAAAAAAATCTTAATTGTAATAGTACATGAGAGTTACTTAGTTAGTGGCGAAGCCATATTGAAACCAACAAATGTCTTGATATTGGCTAATTTTCAAAAATAGCTGGCTAAACTATGGAAATAACAAAGAATTACATAAATAACAGCTTTCTCCATAGCTGATACTGCTAATTTTTTTCAGGAATTAATATTTGGCACGAGCTAAATTTTTTTTTTGGCTCTGCCACTACTGACAGTAATCGAGTAATTAGTTTTACTCTATAGTAATAACTATAAAATTATTTTGATTACACACAAAATCATATAAGAGTGTTCGTAGTTTGGATTGGATCAATTTTGAAGCAAAAATATCAAATCCAATCCCTTCAGTTTGATCATTTAATCAAACAGTCGGTTTGATTTTTTTTTTTTAGATCCAATCCAAACAAATTTTATTCAGTTTGGATTGGATCGATTTTCAATTTTTCGAAAAATCGAAAATTTCAGTCATACAAATCACTAGCTATATAAAAAATAAAGCCATAAAAAATTATAAACCACTGAAAAATTTAAGTTTTCAAATTAAAACAAGTCTTAAAACTCATAAAAAGTTAAAATAGATTAATAGACAATAAAAAATTAAAACAAAATAGTTTGCTATCAATAACATCCAAGATTTCAAGTCACCATATTTCAAAACTAATAAATACATGGATTGGATCAGTTTTCATCAAACAAACCAAACTGATCCAATCCAATCCAATTAAAATATGTGATTTTTTTTTGGTTTTTGATTTTTTCGATTATCTCAATTATCGATTTTTCGATTCGGTCACCGCGGTTTGAATCGATTTGGATCGGTTGATGAACATCCCTAAAATCATATATGCATTTTTGAAATGTAATTATATGAATTGAAAATGAATTGATGATATATACTACTTAGTTGTAGTTGATCACCCTTAGAGACGGAAAAACTTATATATTACATGTGTGAAATATTCTTGTATATTCATAAAGTATTATTCTTTGATCAGCAAAGTTTAAAAGTAAAATCCAAAGGTATAAATGTATAAAAAGAACTTAAATAAGGGGAAATGATATATTAAAAAAATAAGGGAAATTATAATATAATTGGGGGATAAGATATTATGCCTAACTATTTTTAATTTTACTCTGTTTACTTTTCTCCAATACCATTAGATTAGAATCTCAACTAATATTCACTCTTTCTCTCTCCTCTTAAGATTATGATCTAATGGTGTTTAAGAAGAGTAGGTAGAGTATGCATGAAAATAAATAGGCACAATATCCCTGTAATTGGTATTAAAAAATGTTCGGTTCTATTAAACCGTATAATGATATCTCAAGGGTATGCGCTCAGAGATATCCTATGGATAGGTATCTTGGTTGACTTATAGCCAATATCCTCATCAATGCGCACAAGCAACAGGCTTATAGCCGAGACGTGAGTGTGTGCACAATATGGACAGAAGTAGTAAATGAGTTCAGAGTATCTACCTGGGGTCTTTAACCTCTTATTTATAAGGGTTACCTCTTGGGCTTGTGTAGATCTCCCAATTGTAGTAGGATTTAACTTCCTTTCTGTTGGTATATGGACTCTATCCTTAGCAGCCTTACTGTTTTATATTGTTAGGATAATTGGGTAGTTATCCTTTCAGGATCCTTGGGTAGGTGGTTAGGATATGGAAATATTTCATAACAAAAAATATGTTTTATCTATTTAAATTTATTTATTGACTTGTTCAAAACTATTTTTAAAAAAAAAAAATGATATTTTAAGATTATGATAGGGTTATTGTGTCTACCTTGTTCACACCTATTTATCTATATATTTTTAATGTAGTTAAATCAGAATCTTAATATAAGAGAGAAATTATGAAGGTTATTTGAGATTCTGATCCAATAATGTTAGAGATAAATAAATAAAATAGGTATAAAAAAGACACAATATTCTATCCCTTTAAGATTTTCTCAACAAAAAATTTAAGATCTTGCCCCTTTAGTATAATTAATAACAAAATATAAAAGATTAAACTTTTGATCTTATGCAAATAATCTACACTCTTTGCCACTGAGACTTTTACTTTAATAAATATTCAGGTAAGTTATATTTTTCACCTATGAGAGATATTTAAACTGTAATTGTTTTTGCTTTGGGAAAATATACTTTCAATCTCCTGAGAAATTAATGTGTTACAGACTTACAGTTTATTTTTATTTTTTTTATAACATGAAGAGTATTCTCATTCAACCTCTTCCGGTCACCTTGTCCTCAGAGTACGGCTCGAAGGTTACCCCTCATTAAAACAGCGGGTGCACTGAGCTTCGCTACTAGAGAAAGGATGAGACTAATCTCCTTTCAAGGAGAGAGGCACTTCCTCGAAAGCTCAGCTACCAACTAAGCTACGCTTGGAGTTTCAGTTATAGTTTATTTTGATTTGATGTGAACGAGTTTCTAATTAGGTCCTTTTTTTTCTCTCTTTGTGCAATTCTCAGCGTTATGAGTTTTGAACCTTTATTATCATTTTGAAACTAAAAAATAAGAATAAATATTTTGAGTGAAGTCCCAAAATCAGTAATAATTGTGTTCAAAACTTTATTTTATCTTATAAATTTTTAAAATCAATAATAAAATATTTAAAATTAGTAGCTGATGATACTCAAAGTTGCAAAGAGATAAAAATGACATATTCACAGTTCCTCATCACTATTATGAGATTTTTTCATATTAAAATAGTTATTTAATACAATTTCATCTTTAAATGAAAAAAGTATAATTTTTCAAAATATTGTATTTTGAATAGAAGAGTATAATTTACCTTAAATATTTTATGTTAACCGTTATAAGTCTTAATTATTTTATTGTGTCATAGTCAAGCTACATAAAAATTTCCAATTTTTTTATGCGTTATTGCTTAACATAATCATTGTTGTGTCAACCTCTTTAGAGACTAATTAATTGAATAATTGCACAACAGAAAGAGTGGGATTTGCTTAGAGTGGGAAAAGGACAATTAACGGTAAACCGTCCCCAGATGAAAATCAGGTGACTAGTTTTTTTTATCGTTTGTTAAACCAAAAATAAAGCAAAATTTGTTCGTTATAGTCATAATCATCATTATTAATTTAATTATTACTGTTTGCATTTATTATACATGTCATGCGAAGCATGAAAGTGGATTTTCTCATTTAAAAATAAAATAAAAAATAATATGATCATGGGAGAAATTATAATAAAAATAGAGAAAAAATATATTAAAATAAATAATTATAAAATCATCATATTTAATTTATTTTTTTTATAATTATAATTTTCTTACGTTAATTTTTTTTTTTTTTTAACATGCTAAGCATACCCAATACACTGCAGATTCTGTGTGCCTCGGTGTCTACCATAATTGCGGTACGTAATTGCAAGTTGCAGCATGCCAACCCTTCTTTTTAAAAGAAATTAATTTTGCTGAACTGAATAACAAGTTAAATAATATTGGCTCAATGATTTTCGCATCATAGATTGATGTGAATGCTCAACTAGATTCAGGAGGTAGAAGACAA